ACTGGGCTACAGTCTGGCTGAATGCTAACCAGCCATTCAGAGCAATAAATAATAAACTATTTCAATTTAAGATTTTAAATACTTTATTGTACTGCAGAGAAATAAGAGAAGATCCAGAGCACAGGTCCGTGTATTAAATACAACATTAATAAAGTATCACTAACACACCTGTTATAGGACTGCCAGCATATACAGTCGTTTTGAGCAGCAACAGTACAGAAAACACTGTACTTGGATATAACAATCGCATTCAAGGCTATTACTTGCATTCTGGAGGATTTATCTGAGCTTAATGTATCAACGCAGCACAATAACATATTTTTTATTTAACATTGTTGCTAAACGAGCTGTCCTGCAAAAATGCCTGGACAATACTGGGCCATTCCACATCCCACAGCTGTTGTGCAGATTCAATATGAAAAGATTGCTTATAGTCTGTAAGGTAAAATAAACCAATTTAAACAGGCATGGGGCCCTCTAGAGACAGATCTCAACGGCTCCAAAGATAGAAAAAATTGCAAATAATGAGAGTGTTGCGAGATAAAGTGATTAAATAGTAAAGAAAGAAAGGAAATGCATAAAGGAAATAAAAGGAAAGAAAAAAAACATTTTAAATAAAAGAGATGCCCTCCAAACTTGAGGGGATAGTGGAGGGGTAGAAAACAAAGTGTAGTTACAGATCTGTTTCAGTGACTTATCTGTAGAATGCTGCAAAACTGAATCTAAGAAGCAACTGACAACACGTAGATGAACTGTAAATTAAACGGCAGAAGTTTTAAAATTTAAACCCTGGATTAAACTCCATTGGGTTACTGTAATTCAAGCAAAATAAATGGGAACATTAGACAATGCAAAATTCTTATTGTAATCCAGAGTTTATTCTTCTTTGGGTGAGTTCATCCCAAAGCTGTTCAGTGTCACTGGGGGATTCTGTGGAATTATTGATGAAGATACCAAACAGCATGCTGGCTGATCCCACTACGCACTTCACCAATAGAAGCCCCATGTTTACCTTTTTGTGGTGGAATGTTCTGGAAGTTTGCCAGGTTTGTCTTTGTAAATATACTGTTAGGGCGCTGTAATTTAGCAGTGCAGTGATCTGGAAAAGGCTTTATGCTCATGGAATGTTCCAAAAGTCGTGTAGCAAGTTTTTCTTGGTTCTTCTTCAAAAGATATCACCTCACCTGTTCCCTTTTCATTACTCTGCTAATCTTCCAGACCATCCCTTCCATTTGTATGAAATCCCCAAAGCTCTCTTTTATTCTCTTCCTGTATACTACGTTTCAGGTCAAACCCTATGTTGTTTTCTTTCAATCGCCAAAGAAAACAGGACACAAACAGGATTTCATAGAATCCAAATTCAGGATGCGGGATATCTACATACTGTAAGACCAAGCGGAGAAGAACAACAATCTCTCTGCTGCTACAAAAATGCAAAGACATAGTAGGCTACGAGGAATATATACCTTTTTGTCTATTTAAAAATAGAAACTCACACATACAGTGGACTTAATAAAAAACTTTATATTGTTGTATTAATCATTGGGACCTTTTTGTAGTCCATATAGTGAAATGACCAATACAACAAACCTCGCTTTGAAGCTCCTAATTGCAAACACTGACAACGTGCTGACAATTTACAGATTAAACGGGACACAGATATTCAGAGCGAATCCAAGAATTACAATGATACAGTCTGATCGCACATGCAAGTGACAGGTTAAAAGTTGAAGAGGAGCTGGAAAAAATGTAAAGTCATTTACAGGAACTGGGATTGAGAAAAGTTTGCCCCTGAGGTAAAGGGATTGCAGATAAAAAAAATATAAAAAGCCAACAGACAACTTGTAAGATTTTAAGAACACATGATAACAACTAGATTAGGTCTGTCTGAAAATCTAGGACAAATTACGCAGATAATTCAATGTTATGTGTTGACTATGTTCGTCTAATTTTGGCTGCACTGCATGATGATTTATACCTTCTTTACACCCCATTACCCATAAATGTCTTACAGCGATAAAACCCAGTCCATCTCAAAAATGCCGATAGAAAAAGAACCACAGTCCCAATAAATCAACTCCTGAACCGAGCAAACCCTAGCAGTGCATGTTCCAAACTTCATCAATTAAAGCAGTATTTTTCAAAGTACTTGTAAAGCTTATCCTTACCTAGTTAATGGGGTTGGGGTTAAAATATTGTTTTTTCCATGTTTGTGCAACCAAACACAAATAACAACAAATTAAGAAAAAAAAAACCCTAAAAAAACTTTTCAACTTTTCGGGAGCAAAGAGGTTTTACATAGACATGCTGTTTACATTTAAAATATGGTCAAGACTGGCTGCCCGAGGGGGATGTCTTCCTTCAGAAACATAGTTTTATGATCCCCATGACATACAATGGTGGGTAGACAAAGCCACCAAAGGATCCTCAGAGAGGCTGTGGTAAAAGTAGAAAACCAAAATTAGAGAGAAAGTCTGAAGGGGCCGGGGACACCCTTCTCTTTCTTCAAAACCATGGTTCAGATGCCAGGATGTAAGTGACACACAATACAGAGAGCGGCAGACGTGCACAGAAAGGCAGAGAACGACAATGCATCCACTGTGCCACACATCTGAGGCTGGGCAAAACGCCACACCGTGCTGTGACGCGTTTTTCTTGTTGACCTGCTAAACAACAGCTCATTCCAGTGGTAGTCCCCAAAGAGGGGGAGGAATAAGATCATTGATGTATTCTTTTTCTTAATTATCGTGCATTCATTTTTCCCATTTAAATGCAGAGTGAGCGCTGGTTGTCTTGAACCTGGCCTTGGGAGGGCTGTAGTGTCCTCAGGTTTTTCCAGGTCTCTCTTAAAAGCACCAGCACTTGAAATTGATTCCATAAGCTGCTTTAGGTTGTTAAGAACTGGGCTATGATGAAAACCTGTGGATCCATTGGCCCCTCTCTAGTTCACTCACTTTGAATCTCCCCTGAAAAACGCAGAAGTTGGAGACAGTTCAGACTCACAGTTAGTGTGGTAGAAGGCAGAGACGTACAAACTGCTGACTATGCACTAAAAATGAATGCAAAAAAACCCCAAAATGTGGGAAAAATTACCGGGATCAGCAATGTGAACGCCTCTTTTGTAATGAATTGTAAATCGATAGGGAGAATTAGTTCTATAGCTATCATTTATTTCCAGAAAAAGTGACAGAAAATAGGAGGGTATGAAACTTGCAGAGACTTTATGGAAGAACATCTTCTCAGTTGTCACGAAACACAGTAATATGAACACAGCTGCATCAGATATGTGGTAATGACTGGATGTCGCAATACAAGTTGTGTCCTTACTGGTATATCGGACATTCCTGTTTAGAGTGTAATCAATTCAAAAGATCAATCTTAAACAAAATGTTAATATTTTCGATCAATGAGTAAATAAAAAAATCTGAAAGGACGTATAAAGTATCTTTTGCCTATTGTGTATAACATAAAAGGTGTTTGTGTTTATACATGTTTAATATGTGACTAATTATTCAGTTGATTTTCAGGTCTACATCACCTCAAATGAACCCCATCTATTCCTCATACAGTGTTGGAACCTGAGAAAATTCCACTGAGAGATGGGTTATGGCAAGGACGACCACAATATGAAATCAGAAAGCCAGATTACAAGGAAATTCAGTTACAGCTGGCTGTTAATAATGGGTGGCCTAAAATTGCAGAGACAAGGAATTGACTTAACACAGCAGCGACAGAGACAGAATGCCTAATACCATTTTCCCTGGGGGCTAATCTTGTAATTCAGACAAACATCATGGATTCATAACCCAAATGAAAAGGGCACTTGTGTGAAGTAGGTCAATTGTAACTCTCATTAAAAATGGAAATTGGCTTCTGTTTGCCCGTACACTCATTAAAGATCCTACCACGGCCTGTCTGCCAGCTGGTACAATTTTGTGCTGCATAAGATAACATCAGGTTGATGTATTAAGTGCCTGGGCCTACTCACACTGCCCTTGTGCTGTTAGTGTTTTACCCTAAAGGGCAGCACTGACATTTCTAGGAGTAAGGGTGGCCTGAGCAGAAACAAAACTGAAAAGGCCCCCCCATCTTTCATATTTCGCCCTGTCCCTAGGGGTGCGTGTGTGTGTTCATTCCTCGTTATTAGCTGAGTCTTGCTCCAGTCTCCATCTTGGATTATTCACAGTGACATGGTATGGGATTGTTGTGAGGGTGGCCCATTGGCCAGACTCGAAAAAGAGTAACAACACAATTGACAAATGCTAAGTTTCAGCTTCCTCAATATTGTTTCATCCCCACATATAAAGATGGTGTTTACTTTAGGTTTCAAAATTCTTCTTTAGAACCAAATCAGATATGTGTGTGTGTTGAGGGGGATGGCAATCGATGCACATACACAGTTAACATTTCATCAAATTTAACCACAACTTTCTTATTACTTTCTGGACAGATTATGTAAATCCATCCATTAACAACAGTAATTCATTCTGCTTATTATTTGTCAGGGACGTCCAGTATTTAATTCATGTTGCTGTAAGAATGTAGCACCAGTGCTTTATAAAATATGAATCAAACTGGCTCTCCTTCAGTGTCATACCAATCTGCAGAACAGCTATTTTTCACAAAAGAAGCTTTCAGCTACTTTCAAGGTGGCGAGCCCTCAAAGGCACACAGTATCAGTTTGCAGGGAAAAGAGCATACTCCAAGAGCTAATGTAAAATTAAGCATGTTGGAACACAGTGTATAAGCAGTGGGAAGCAATTAAGAACCCCCCCCCATGATATTAGAGCAATTTATTTTGCATACACGAATTACACACTTCGCAAACATTTTTAAAGACAAACAAAATTATTAAAAATACCCCCCACGATTATTTGTATTCCTTCTTTTCATGTAGGTATACAGGTGTTCAGCCAAAACAGTTATTACTCCTTTTGGTTTTGATTGATGGTTTTGTGTTCTTGTTTGATGGGAGAAAAAAAAAAGAGGTCAGCACTTACTCTGGCAGGTCGGAATGTCGCAGTATTTCCAGTAAATCCCGTCTTCGTGATCCGCGATGTAACACCAAGGCCTGACATCCCCATCAGGATTTCTGTGGACGAGGAGAAACCACGGTCACCCATAAAAGCAGGGGGTGGGGAGGGAAAGAAACATTTTTTCATCGCTTCGGATTTAACTGAGTTCATGCCAGGATGAATCCCTTCCTCTATATGAACCTCCCCTTGAGGTTCTTAGCTCCCTTGCTATGCATCTCCTCCACAGGATGGACAGCACAGACAAAAGACTGCCACAGCCAGCGGGGAAGGGCTTTGTTAGTGGCATCAGGGGACCTACGGGTTAGAATCGGCCTGTCAAATTGGTCACTGGGTTTTCTAGCACACTTAACAATCATAAGGCAGTCATAAGGCCTACAAAGCCAACAGGGTCTGGATAGTTCACATGCAAGGTCTATAGACAGTTGTTGCATAAGAACAGTATCCCTTTCAAAATACACATACTGCAACTTCCATGATGATCTGTTCCTAGGAAGACAGATCTTCATAATAAAGCCCACTGGAATTCATTACCTCGCTCTTTTCTTTGCCATAATATTGCACTAATGAGAAAATCCCCTCAAGCTATTCAGATCCAATTCTTCCTTTTGTAGTTAGGAATCTGATGGGTGTTACCTCCTCTCCTCTTTTGCTTTCTAGCTTCTTGCTCTTTTTCATGCCCTTTAAAAAAGTTTTAAATAGAAGGAGCAGTGAGCCCAGCTATCTTTTATGAATGATACTGCTTTTGGTTTGTAATTGGATCCCACAATGAATGAGGTTACATGTGATGTTTTTTTTTTTCCCTCTCTGAAAAAAATCTTCTTGTCAATCCAATCGCAGTTAAATTGCAGTGCACCGAAAAAAAAGAAGGGCATTAGCATTTTAACGTAACACAATGTTTTAGGTCTGTCTTTAATCATACAGTGCTGCATCCAATTAAAAAATAAACAAACAAAATTGCCAGTATATGTCTGGTTAAAGAGGTGGAGCAATACATATAAGTTGCAAGCAAATTACATTCACATTGATGCCTGTCACTGAAAGAGAATAATAAAAAAGAAAAATAAAGCTGCTTAATTTTAGGGATGTCTTGGGCAGGTTCAGATTAGTTTGGATTTTGTTTTGCAGAGATGTATAGTATACACACACACATTGCCATCTGTTATCAGCAATTCCCATATGCCTGGAAAGGTCCATTCCACGGCCAATGGAACTTATCCCTGAAGAACAGAGCGTAAGGCAGGACTACACCCTGGAAAGGAGGGTTTATACTTATAATATCTATCTTCTAGTTTAATCTGTTTGTAGTGGAAGACAATGAGACCATGAGGACATACATGACACTTCAGTGGAAGGATTTTGAGATCTCTAGAGGCAGGTATAAAAGATCCAGTAATAGTACTGGACAGCAGTCTTGTTGTATCATGGTTTTCTCAGGACAGGGATTTCACCAGAATCAATTAAAAAGGAGTTTTCAGTTTCAGTTTTTTCCATATTTATCTTGTTAACCCCAGGAGCCAGTCCAAAATATGATCAGAACTGAAAGTGAAGGGTGGGCACAAGAATCTGTATTGAAAAGACTTGAAACATGAAATAAACCAGGCCAGAGCTAAGGGTATTCAATTCTGGCTAACCCACACCATCTAACATTCTGTGTGGTTTTGCAGTAAAAACAATGTTGTGAGCCCAATTCATAAAACTCACAGTCCAATGTGAAATGTAACACCTATATTAGCAAATAGCAAATTCTGAACTAAAAAAAAAAATCACTGCCTCTCCAATGGTTGGAAATGGTGATCTCCAGAGCTGAATTTAGGCGAGAGATATGATTTTAATTTCCTACAACACACATTCCGAAGGTCTTTGCAAACACGAAACGACAACTTTGATCGTTAAAAAACTTCAGAGGCAAAAATCAGATGACAGATGTGCTGAATATATTTGATGCTAAAGGCATAGTCCTTGATCTAAACCTAAAAGATTAGAAGAGACATGAGAACCTGGATTTTCCTAGAGACAGACCTTTCAGATCCTGGGAGCTCAAGTACAAGGCTCACTCACGTGCTGTTTTGCAGTTTTAACAAGGGACAACAAAGATACCCCAAATTACAGTGCGGTAGCATAAAGGTGTCTGATATGTACAAATCAGGAGAGATATTTTTGTGCAGGAGAGATATTTGGTCTGTTAAAGTAAAAGAAGGAGGAGAACACAATTAAAAACCTTGTACAAAAGGACAATACTTAAGACTGGCTTTTGCAGACATTCTAGCCTTTGAAGGAAATGCTGTTGGAGCACATTTTCAATGCTAAATGTTAAACAGAAACATTTCTTCTGGTCATGTGCAAAAGACTAGGGGCTGCTAACCAGGTGATGTTGGTGCTAATCCATAGCACTATCAGCCTCACTCAGTCTAAATCATTCCAATCCTCTTCATTGTGCTCAGGCCAGATGGAAATATATACAAAACCTCTTGGCCTATTTTTACAGAAAATATACAATACATGTACCATCTAAATATTTATTGAACTCTACAGAATTATTCAGATTTCCACATGGGGTTAAGAAAAAATTAAAAAGAGGGGATTCAGTCGCTTCCAACTTTAAAAAAAATAACTATGAGGCAGAGAAGGTGACAGAATTACAGAGAAACCCAAAAATGAATGGAACTGAATCAAAGACTTACTTGGCACTGAGCAAGATTTCTCAAAGTGCTTGAAAAAAGAGGAAAAAAATCAAAACCAATTATTTCCTACATACAAATACAAATGTTCTGAAAGGACTACCAGAAAACAGAGTTTCTGAATGCTTTCCTATTTCCTCTTTTCTGGACAAAATCCACCTTGTTTGAATATGGCAGAAAAGCTATGAAAGAATGGAATTTAAAGTAATCATAGAGGCATTCAGAAATAGGAAAAAAACTAACCATGTACCTGTTCGGGCAGCATTATGTCAATTAATCAACACAAAGCCTACAGCTCACGGTGACTCAGTTTCATCTTCTGGTTCTCATGCAAAGGTGACAACCTCTTTCCAACATCAAGTTCAAGCCTTGACAACAGATTCAAGCAAGACCAGCCATTTATTCCCTCTTGAGGCTCTTTGGAATTCCATTAGAAAGGAATCGCATCGCCCTTCCACAGCAGATGTTCCACGCCCTGACAATATGTGAGCAATGGCAAATTATGGAAGACACATTTAGGCATGCACCGAACTGAATATATTACAGCTTAATTGGGGTAGAAGACACAGAGTTTCCTCTTGCCCTTTAATGGCTTATTCCTTGGGATTAATGTGTTCTTTTTTCGGTCCAATTTCTCAATGTTTTTAGTTAAGCATTTTACGGCATGCTATAAAGATGAAATATGAAAGCTGTTAGGGTTCTTATATACTGCCAGCCCTTTCTTTCATGTCAAACAGCATGAGGAAGGCCAACAACAGATCTCTGAGAAGGTTAAGCCCCCACCCTCAGAGAATCCCAGCTGTAAACCTCCTATAAAGAACACGGCTAGTTTCTGGCAGACACACATCCACCTGTACAACATTCGAAATGTAGCTCTGTTTTTCACAAAGACAATGACCGGAATGTGCAAAATTCTTATCGAGCACAGTGCCCCATCCGAATGATGTTTTTTTTCCCCCTTTAACTCCTCAAATGTGTCTGATGTCATTCTAGCTCTGCCAGTTCTGTCTCTTTTAAAACTGCAAAGTAAGGAACGCACCATGTAATTCATTTAACGTAACAGAAAAATCAAACAAAGGAGAAGCCTCTAACTCAGAAATGCAGGGTAAGACCAAAGGGTTGGGACTTTGTGGTCAAAAATTGCCAGCCTGGATGGAGCACTGTCCCTACGCTGATCTGTGAAAACTGTGCCTTGAAAAGGTTGAGGGACGCAGATACTGTATCAGGAGGCAATGAGATATATTCTGCATGACTCATGTTCATGAAAACAGCTTCTGTGCAGATGGTTGGTTATGTTGCTAAGATGAACCCCTTTATGGACTCCTGTCCTTAGGGTTTTTTTAGCAAATGGGTCTCTAATCTTCTACAATAGCAGTTCCTGGGAGGAGAGGAGCAGTAGTCACCAGTACCTCCCAGATGGAGAGTAATTCTTGCCACACAACAAGGGACTGCGCCTCCTTGCAGGAGCTGGGAACTCTCTGAGCTCTTAACCCAGGCTGTAAATCACACACAAAGGCTGTGGCTCAAGCCCTTCTGATGCAGAAGGTCAATGAGGCAGTGTTCTGCTGTTTTAACCCAGGCACCATGTAAACTCATGGTGTTCTCACAGCTCTGCCTCGTTCTCTGTAATATTTACTCTACGCACTACTCTCTGGACACAAAGACTAGGAGGAAGATCAAGGGAAGCACTGCCTAATACAAAATCAGGTTTTAATCCCATAATGCTTTAAGACTGGTTTCAAGGAATATGGATTTAGCTTTAAAAGTATTGATCGCTTTTCAAAGAGGAATTCCTGTCAAACCAGACCCTGACAAGTGCAATTGTTATAGTGACCTACTTATTGTCGGCATTATAAACTAACTGTTGAAAACATTATGTTTTTGAAGAAATATTTATATCCCAATGATTGATTCGTGCAGAGTCTACTGCTTATACAGTAAATGACATAGCTGCAGCTGAATAAACGTAGAAACACAATGACTTTTTCTCTTAGTCTGACAAACAAAAACATATCTGTTTTCAAACGCAGTCACAGTACTGCATAATTCACTGACAGAAGCTTCATGAGTTTTATGTCATCCATTAAATCATAACATTTTATGACCTTTCTTTTCAGTGGGCAAAGTTTCATTTGCTAGGTTTCCATCCTTGCAGTCAGATGGCAATCTAACAGTAATAGACTCCTCTGTAAAATTTATGAACAACAAGGTTTCATTTTATTTTGAAGGATACAAGGTCAAAATAGATTAGAAAAGGCAAATTAATGTATTTGTTGGTCTGCAACATGCTTTTCTTTGCCATTTCGATTTTCACTCCCTTTGAAAAGCTCAGCAATATTTCTGGTAATGTAATTGAGCTGTTAGGTACAAATACCACACTGCACCATGGACATCCTTACAGGTCTGGTGCACAGTTTTATTTATAAAGAAAGCTTAAAAAGATGTTGATTCATTGTCTTAAGCATTTTAGCGTTTTAGCTCGGTGTGCCATGAAGAGAACAGGTAAGAAGCAATGGAGATATTAAGTGTGTCAACACACTGAACCAAAACCATAAACTTCTTACAGTTTAGTCAGGATTACTTGAACTCAAACCAAAACCTGACAGGCTCTTGTTCCTTCAATGCCAAGTACTGTTTATTCATATAGAAGTATTACAAAAGACTATACCACCATCACATTCCCTGCCAATCTATCCATTTTCAGCATATGCTCTATCCTTAGACAGTTACAGTGAGCTAATTCCTCACCTAGACTCGACTGGATTCACTCACAAATGCATATGGGGTGCAATTTTGAGATGTTAGCTAACTTGGACTGGACACCATGTCTTCGGAATGTGGGTGGAAACAAGAGCACTAGTTTACCACAGGTCATTATTCAAACTTCACCCAGAAAATTCAGCAGTTCAGAACTGAGCCCAGGACACCACAGCTGTCCTCTTCCAGGACTCTGAATTGTTAAATATTCCCTACATTAGAATTAAATCACAGCTTCTCAAAATCTGGTCATAAGTCATTACAAATTTTATTTACATAACCTACTGTGTCAAGTTAACACAAAATAAAGGGAAAATAATCTTTCTGAGATACAGTTTGTTCTGAAAATCTGTGATGAAACTATCCAGTTGTTCCACAACAAATAGTTTTAATATATGATGAAAGACATACAATTCAGACATTAAAAGAGGTACAGTATGCTTTGAGCCCCTTTAATGATAGATACTGTATAATTGCAGCTGGTGATACAGGTTTGACATTTGCAAAGCTTTAGGTACAGTTTAGGTACCTGGAAATATGTTCAAATAAGTTCTAAAGCTTCATGCCAAAAGCCTTAGAGGATATCCTAAATTTTAACTTTTGAACCTCAAGACAAAAACTCAGGGTACACCATTACAGGAAAAGCTGAAGCCAGATCTTTAAAAACATCTACATCTTGCGCTAGTTTTTTTTTTTCCGTCTGTGTCCAATTAACTGCAATGCTGAAGTATCGTAGAGCAAAATCAAAAGCCTGTGTCGCATTTAAACAAATGAAAACAAAAGATAACATGGGAAGAAAACTTCATCAGACTCTGGGATGACTTTCATCAGAAGATTTAACCACTTTTTGGAAGTGATGAAGAGAGAGTGATGAAGTGATATTTATTTCAGTCTACAGCACCACTTAAATAGGAAGGTTTATAAAGAATGTCTGAAGGTTTTTATTAGTCTCCTTTGATTTCATTTCCATTAAAGGGAAGCAATCAAAATACTCACAATATAGCTATTCCTTTAAGCACCTTTAACATGTCGACATCACAATCCTAGAGAATAGGTTTCCATTTATCCAAATAATGTCACAAATACAAAAAATGATTAAAAAGTAACAAATTCTATCTCCTTCAGTGCTGGAACAGATCCGATGGACTTTCAGATTTTACAGCTTTGAAGCATTAAGCCAGTGTTTTACCTGCAGTAGTTGTGGTTACCAAGTCCCCCCTCTCCATTTGGGTACTTGATGGTATTATAGGGGTGCTGGAAGGTTTCATTCCAGTAAAGACATGGTTTTCCCCCATGAAGACATGTCTCATTTTGCTTGCCCCTGTAGTCTTCTCCATTTGCAGTGTAACATTCTGCAAAATAAAAGCATGCACTCTATCAATACACCTTCCTTGTTCAAACACCCAACATGGTCATCTCTGATATCTTTGATATCTTTGATGACGTATGTACATAACTTCAATCCTACAGTAAATGCAAATAAATCCATAAACTACCCACGTTATGTGAACAATCAATGTCCTTGCCATATATGAAAAACCAAGAAATTAGACATCCATACAATATACAACACTGATAACATAAGTTAAGCATTTATACTTTGTGCGCGGGATGTATACATCTTCTGTAATTATATTTGTTCTATACTTGACACTCAGTAAGACGCAACACTGTGAATGAAAAAGTATGGCAAATATTTGCATTGCTTCAATTCACATCTCCCACTAGTTTGATTTCACTCATTTTTTTCATAATGAAAAACATAACTAAACAAAAAAAAGAATGGAAATGAAAAAGCAATGCCTTGCATGCTTGGATTTTAAATATAATGGAATGATAACCATATGGTTACTTGAGAGTTCATCTACTGCTACACCCCAGTTCCATGACTGAAATGCATTTGCTCGGTTAAAAAAAATAAACATTCTAGAACAAAACAATGAGAACTCAAACAGTCTTTGAAGGTTGTTCTCTGGACCTCATTCTTCAGTTTTCAAGCTAGGCAATTGAGGCCTTTTGTAAAACAGAGAACCATTCCATGCCACAGAAGTTTCTCTTTATTTCACGAAAACGTCTGACTTGGATCTTCGAAAATCAGATTACAGGTTAGATCACCGAGTAAAGATATCCCCAAGCTATTTAACTGCCTGCCTTTGAAGGTTTACAAAGTTAATGAAGAAAAGATTGGGGTGGGGAGAAGGGACTGCCTTGCAATTCTCTGCAAGATGGTAACGCAACATTTTATGCTACATTAAAAACAGTTCTCCTTGTGTTTATTCCAGTAATCATCTCAATATTTCACACAGAAAACTGAAAAGAAAAATGAAACTTAGCATTTTATAACCTATGGCATAAGTTTATTTTATTTCGTATGACACTCTTTAGATACGCAATATGTCAAGATTAAACTTGACATATTGACACACTTGGAGTTGCTTTAAAATCTTCAGGCTATAGCTTTACTGGAAACAAGAGATGTTATCCATTGTCAATTAGCAAAACTAACACGGTAATCAGCATTGATGATAAAATTGCTATTGTAGCACCTACCAATAAAAAGATACCTTTTAACCAAGTCATTATAGAGCAATCTAAGAATAACCAGATACATTCCTAGACTTAGGGTAGACTAACAGTGTACACTAATAGTCTAATATAACTGATTTTTATAAGTCTTGAACACAGAAGACTGGTGAGGGACATGATTACTTCTACTTCTTCTTTACTGTCAAGGGTATGGAAATGATAAACAGAACCTAATTAGAGGATCATCTGAGGCAACAGGATGCTAGGGGTTAGTCAAAATGTATTTATAAAAATGTTAAGTATTTAACTACAGTAAATTGCCAGTGTTCTTCTAACAAGATAGATAGCAGTGTAATTGATTTGGTATCATACACTCTATTTCTATATACTTAATTCTGATACTTCTGTTCCTCGTGAAAGGTAAATTCATAAATCCAAGCTAAAGCATTCAAGATAAAGCACACTGAAAATGAGAATTGGTTCAGTTAGTGGAGTACTACAATGATCCATATAAGGGCCACAGTATGTCCTAATTTTGATTCTAGTTATTACGATATAGTTAATAGTTAATAACCTAGTGAAGATCACAAATGATAATAAAGTAGGATGATCAGCAAACACTGTAAAAGGTGAAAAGGAACAGATCTAAAGACTGGACAAAAACTTGGCACTTGTATTGTACGTGTAAACAAATACAGAGTAATATATGCAGGTAGCAAAAACATACTGTAAACTATATACAGTATAAGATGGAACACTGAGGGTGAAAAACATACATGTAAAAAAAGACTGAGATGTGACACATCTTGTACATCTTGTAATGTGGGGAAGCAATACAAAAAGTAATGTATATGTATGTAGAAATAGGATGTAGACTTAAAAGTGTAGAATTTAAATCATGCAATGCTGATTTAAAATTGTGTTAAAACACACATAAACATACTTTAACATGGTATAATGCACAAGTAAGAGAATAACCAGATAAATTACTAGGATTAAAGGAATTTCTTTACATAGAAGACTGGGAAATGGCATGATTGAAGTCTACAAAATCTTCAAAAGCATTGACAAAGAAAATGGAATTCTTCAGTATAAACACAAACCAGAGGACACAAAAAAGCAGAGGGGAGCGAATTTAAAACATTTTTACACTAAGGGTTGTGGGAGTCTACTTGCAATCAAATGAGCTAGATGTGGTACTTTGTAGCTCTTCTTATATCCTTAGGGCTAGAGAAAATGAGACACCTTTGGGACAGCTTTTTTGGCAATGAATAAATGCACATCTGGCAGCTGCTTGTTTTCAGAATAAAAATAATTATTTATGATGCTGAAATAACAAGATCTGTTACCTACGTAACATTGATGACTTTTAAAAACGGCAGAGTTTACTTTGGTTACAACAGCTTCCCGGAATGGAAAACAAAATATTTGTATTTTCCAGCTTTATCAATTCAAAGTTCCTGCTGCTACCAGCAGGCATGCTGTGGTTTCATGGTTTGTTCTAAAAATGGAAAGAGAACCTGTCCTCCTCACATGTGTCAATCGCCAACTCAGCTTAACTTTGTTTCACCACCTCCGTAATAAATCATTCAGTGCATTTTACTTCTGCGGCTTCCAGATCCCTGTGATCCTAGATGGATACAAATCCTTAAAGAAGCTACAGGACTGTCTACCTGAAGGCTGTTTACAGATTGCCTGGAGAGATCCAAATGTAAGTTATTTTGGCTGCTATGATACACCAATCCCTTGACTTTTTCTCAAGCCAAAGTCTTTTTTATCTCTCAAACAAGTCTTTTCCTTCAGCCAAAGGTAGCAGTTGGAGAAGAGTGCTGGTTCCCTTGCTGTACTGCTTAAAAGAATAACCAGTCCCAGCTGTACACTGCTTTAAACAGCTATCTGTTCAAGGAGATAGTCACGGTGTTGCAGGTTTAAACCTTTTTCTTTTTTTTTGCAAACCAGATTTGTGGGGCAGAAAGGGTTGATGAACTTCTGGAGGAAGTTAAAATACTGCACTCCGTGCTCTGAAAGCAATTTTGCTCAATGACAAGGCTTGAGCAAGTTGAACACGCCCTGCACTGGGTTTCAAAACATTTATGTTTCCTAATCATTAAAAACTAAGCTCTTGCAAGATGTCATTGTCTCCATGTGGCTTTCATCATCAACAATGCATTCAAGTACTGTACATGTCGTTTTAATTAAAGTAATTAAGTTTCTGTAGTCTCCCTCATTCTACACACCAACGTTTCCTGAGCTGAACAGTCATGATGCAGGAATTTGTCACTAAAGCAAATATATTATATTTCTGTAGTTAAAATACCAAACACTGAGACATTAGCACTTTTCTCTGATAATTACTCCTCTTCTTAGCAAATTAATTCTGGATGATCTCCATGTTGCTACATTTGTTTCATAATGCATTTTACAATTTACCACCAACAGATACGTTTCTACAGTATATGACTGTTTATGCTTTAACAGTATTAAAAAGATCATGCCATGGGACTGCTGAGGATTGATTCTTATATGATTGTTTGCTTTAATCTAGTAACCATACCATTTTCTTGACCAGAATTTTAAAACATCCAACAAGCACTCTCAAAATCATTCTTTATCCTCATAATTATGTAAAATTATTGCAGAATGTTGCAAAAATTATACACACGCAAATGATCAAGTTGAAAAGACTATTTAAATTTTTCATTCAATTGTTAATTAACGATCTAATGTGGTTATGTGGATATTACATGGATATTATGGTAACCATATAAAATACAAATCTACATACATTTGATGCACCTTAACTTAATGAAAGCGTTATCTGCTGCTGTGGGCAACCTTATAAATATATTTCATTTGAAACTCAGGAGCTGATTTCATACAGAGAGATAAATACAGATACAGACAATTACATAAATAGAGATACAAATAATAAATACAGATAAGATAAAAGAGAGATAAATACAGAGGACAGAATTAAACAAGATGTTCTTCTTTTAGAGGAATGCACTGTTATTTGTGGCTGCGTAGTGTAGATCGTGAAAATGTTAAATAATGTATTATTAAAAAAGGTTTAATTTCACTTAATTAAAGCACAATTACAGTATACTGAGTATGGGCCTAGGTATGTGAACTGAAACCCAGATGTAATACAAATACCAACTTAAAAACACGTTACTTAGATGTCTGCCCCTTGGAGTCACAACCAAATCAGAAACTACACCAGAGGACAAAATCTGTTTGTGCGCCATGGAATATTCCAAAAGAAATTGGATCACATCAGATTAACTCAATCCCAGAATGGCTTAAATCCGATCCCCCTCAGACTCTATTAGCAGCCTAATTTCTGCATAGATTTAGAACACATCAGGTGGGAGTGACATTTCTGAAGAAACCAGTTTGATTATAAAAGTACCATTGCTCACACACACAGTGTCTAACAGTGGATAGACTCACAAATAAACCTGTGTCACTGATCTGGGTTCCTAAAGTAATTAAAATAATGAAAATAGCAAAGTTAATTTTAATAAACAAAACTGCTGAAATTTATTTTACATTTTTATTTTAAAACAGGTTACAAATACGGTTTCGCTTACGATGTAAAAACATTCATTCCAAAACTTGCATTTTTCAGTAGTGGCAGCAGGCACAAAACAAACCAGCAGGCACAAAACATTCTTACTTGCAGTACATTACTGAATCTTCCAGAATGCTAGAATAAAAGACAGAGGCTAACATATGGATTTGGTGGCTTAAGACCCTTTAAAAAACATGCAAACTCTTTCTTCATCAAAAATTGCGAATGTACAGAAACTAAAACTGGCAGAGG